AAACCTTCATGTTGTACTTAAATTATGGCGATACAGATTAGTTGAAAATAACAACAATAACCTATAGTTACAGGAAAAGGCTAACATAAACTTCAGCATGCAGAAATTCTTTTATTAAACCAAAAATAAAAGAAGATAGAAATACTAAAGTACAGTTTATATTCAGCATTTTAGATACACTGAAATGCTTACTTTTAATTACATTTCATAAAGATTTTAAGCTTTACACTATATTAGAATGTCATTATGCTAAAAAATTACACTAAAATTTAAAGAAAAGTTTTTAGAAAAAAAGTTACTAACAGTGCTGAGTTGCAGTATCACCAACTTTAGTCAATACTCGACCAGTACGTAAATCAGAGAATGCCCAATGCTCATCGGTTGAAGTACTGAGAAGATAATCTCCAGTTGCATGCAGACTAAGACCTGTAACTGGACCTTCATGAGCTCTGATAGCCTGTACAGTTTGGGATGTTGGCACATGCCATATTCTAATCATCGAATCTGGAGAAGCAGTAATGACAGTATCCTAAAATAATTAAGGGTTAAAATCAAATAAAATCTTTAATACACAACTAAAACAAGAAATGAATAATCTTCATGACTTTCATCAATTTTTTGTAAAATAAATATATATTAATACACAGTGAACATCCACATCCTTTATTGAACATTAACTGGTACATATATGAATGTATCAAAATAAGATATTATTTATATATAGGAGAAATATTATTCTACAAACATTTGCCCATAGTCAAATTGGTTTAAGAGGCATAATTTTCCTCAGTACTATCTATTTATCTCATACAGAGGAAATGCATATGGAATCAGTAGTATAATGCATGATTTTGATACCTATTTTTGTTATTACTTTAAATAAACAAAACACAGTATGACTATATATATATATGCGTGTGTATACATTGATGCTTTGCTGATAAAAACCTGGGTAGGGAAAGAATAAATTTTATTAATCAAAATGCTTTTAAATACAAAGAAAATAAAATTAATAACATTGCAGCATTAGAAACATACAGACACTTCTAAATACATCAATCTCAATGTTATCATTCCCCAAAAGAATTTTATTAACGAGAACATCTGAACAAAATGGGAAGGAAAGAAAAAGAATCCTTCACGAGTACGAGAAAAGAAAAGCTTCTTGAAAATATTAGTCATTTATTTTATAAGTTTACATTTACACCTAAAACTATAAAAACATCTCTAAAAAGTTTAAGGATAAATGCCACATACATATTTTCCATTAAAGAAACTACTTACTTCTTCTGGATGATAGATTACAGAAGTAATTTTCTTTGTATGTCCTCTCAAAATAGTAATAACTTGTTCTGTGTCTTTGTTAAAGATGGCTGCATTTTTATCATTGCCACCAGTAAGTATTTTACTAGTATCTGTGGGGCAGACATCCATTGCAAGAATACCAGGTACACTGGCACTATGAAGACCCTAAATTAGAAAAGGAGAGAAGAAAAATCTATCTGAAATAACAACTATATGAAATTCTTTATTTTCACTAATAACTTTTCAGGTCACAAACTAATGTTTAAAAATGCCAAGCTTTTATACTCATATATTATTTTTCAAACTGTATTCATGATACGTACTGGATGAGATGCAAGAGTTTGAAACTGGCGGACTTCTTCAGGCTTTGCTAAATCTTCAGGTACAGATTTACCTCTCTTTTTCCTCTCTGTAGTAAGCAGTGTAGCTTTATCTTGAAGCTACAGAGGAAATCCAAAATTTGAAAATTAAGAAATAATGTTAATTATTTTGCAACATCCGAATAAATAACCTTCTTTAAAAGAAAAAGTTTAAAATATTACAAAAGTGTTTTAGAAAAGGATGAAGATATTCCTATTGACATAAAAATGTGAATAATGCAAAATCATCCATAAATGAAAATATATATTCAAATTTATCTCAGTTACTAATGTAGGTATAACTTCTTTAATTTGCCAAATTATTGTATTATAAGTACATAAAGCCTACAAACTTATTCTCAGTTTTCATAATATATGAGAAAAGTAAATTTTAAACCTGAATAATAAAAAAGTTCATTAAAAAATTAAAAACAAAATTATGACAATATGATAATAACATCCCCCCCCAAAAAAAGAAAGACAAAATAATTATACACGAGATCAGTATCCTTTCTAATTCACCAAACAGAAATGACTTTACCTTTTGAATAACTTCTGGTGTCATTCCTGCTTCTTCCATAGGTTGATCAGCAACACCACCAGCTTCAACACCATATTGCTATAAAACAAATTAACACATTTTAAAATTCTGTAGATGGAAAACAAACTGTGAGACTAAACACAACATTCACATGAATCTGGTAACTTACAGGTTGTTGAGCACCAACAGGTGCAGCAGCAATGCCAGCCTGAGGTTTTAATGTTGCCAAAGCTGCAAAATGGAATTAAAACATTGAAAAATAATAATGATATGATTCAACTGATTTTAAAAGGAATACAATGAAAACTGTTAAGCACTGAAAAATAATGTCACTGACTTTAAAATGAATAAACTGTTGAAATCATTATTTGATAACCTTTAATGATAGAACACATAAATATGATATTAAATCAACTAACTCTATAACTTTTAAATTCATTACTATGAAAACAAATATTGCAGACGGACAAAATATTATAGATGATATCTCACTTAAAATGCTAATATTTTTTAACTATTACTTTCATATGTTGGAAAAATATTAGTTGAATGAAATAAATACTTTTCTACACTAAGCTTGGTTTTACTAAATAAAATATGTGAGTATTGAATAATTACATGTGAAATAAGAATATGACTGCACTATATGAAGAATCTTTATTTGAGTAAATAACATTTAAAATATCACTTAGCTTGATATGACCATTGAATTTATTCTGAGATTCCATACAGATAATACCTGCTTCAAATAGATAAAATTTAACCCTCAAATAGGTAGATGGTTTAGAATTACAGAAGTAGATAGGCACAACCCTCAACCACCCTCCAAAAAAATTACTCACACATTTTCCCATAGACTGTTTTCAGCAAATAAAAACTGCCATCAAAACTGCAACTGAGCACCAGAGCAGTAACAGACAACTATAAGATCACTAAACATCCATAAGATTTTTGCCTTGCTTTTAGGTAACCACTCAGTCAGACAGTTTAGTTTTTGTAACGAAGGGTATACATTAACTATTATGTCTCTTTTTTTTCCTTGCATTTAAAAAAATAAAAGGAAGGGGAGATTAAAATTTCTTACTTTACTAAAGATAGATTAAAATTTCTTTTCTTCGACAGAACAGTTAGCAGTGAAGAATTTTTAAATTTAGAGGGCTTATACTGGACATTATACTCAAAACATTTAAGATTTTGGATTCAGCAAAATAGTGCAGTAAAAAACCACAATGCTATTTAACTTCACATTTAAGGCAATCTGTGTTGCCTCCAGTTAACAAACAAACAAAAAAAAAAAAAAAAAAAAAATCGTCATTTTCATTGCCAATTACTAGTTTCAAATTGTGCATATTTTACAGAAATTTAACTTTTGGGTAATTTTTCCCTCCTATCAATAAAATTCCCAGTCCCAAACTTAAAAACCCCATTCTGGATAGAACTCTTTGGGTACTTACAGGATTCCTTGCCAATGTGGTTTAATTTACACAGGTCAGACTAAGAGAGCCTTAAAATTTTGTATTAAAGAACATGAGGCATATGTTAGAAAAAATTGAAACACAAAAGTCTTCTGTTGTCCTGTGTTGCTGGTCAAAATCACCTTCCATTTTTCTGCAGCCAACCTTATTCAAAAAAATATATAGATATGTATTTTCCATTAGTGAATTGCAGTTCGAAGGCATTCACATCAAAAAATCTTTCTGTTCTAGTAGACTCACTCAATCATCTATACCCTTTGCCTTAAGGAATTAGGTTTAGTTTTCTTGTTTCATCAATAGATGGTGTCAGTAGCTTAATCTTGCCAGTAGCTGTCCAGCTATTCTTATCATCATATCTTATCTCATTCATTTGCACTTAAGCAGCTGAGGAGATGGTTCTGTAGTTATACCATCGAAACTAGTCCTGCAAAAATTTACAAATATTATGCTGATTCTTGTTTGACTTTCAAGTAAGCTAGAATTATATCGACAGGGCAGAGCAGTAAGAAAGCATTGTATTCATCTCTCTTTGTTTTCAGAGCTACACTTCTCTGTTAAAATTTTTTTCCATAGTGTCATACTATTTCTAACATTCTCTCTATTCTCTTTAGCAACACTTTCATCATTTTAACTTTTCCCATTGGTGTGCTGGAAAAAAAGGTGATTTTTGTGTTCTCATCTTTTGAAATAGTACGTTATACCGTATATTCAGGGCTTAAATTCAGCCGGAGGACAGCTGAGCTATTTCTTACTTTTTTGAATGACACTATAAATCCAGCATGAGCCCCAAATAAGATAAGGTTTGATGTTTTATTTCTATTTATTGTAAATTTAATAATTTATTAACTTTTTACTTATATTGCTATATTTTATTGAATTTTAAATTAATTATTTTAATTATTAGTTGTTTGTTTTTATCAATTTATTAGTTATATCATTTAATTATTTTTTCTCTTCTTCCTGATCGCCTACCATATGGATCTGGTAAATCACATTTTAGAAATTAAGTTCTTGTTTGCAAGTCTTAAATCCACCAAAATTGGGCAATGCAACTGTGAAATCAATCTTTTCTTTTCCCACTGACTCACTACACACTACTCAATCTACATTTGGATTCCAGGTGCGAGTTCATCTGACATGGAAAAGGTTTATCTACAGAAAAATACACAAGAAAATTATTTTTACGATAGTGCTAGAATGATCGTGTGAGAAGCATCATGAATTATAGACACACTGAGTTACAGACAAGGTACTATAACTAGACAAGGTACTATAATAGATGACTACTACTGAAAGAAGGTTATTGAATGCCAAGTTTTAGTGCCAATGGCAAAGCATTTTTCTTGTGGATGATAATATTACACTTCACTGAATAGAGCAATGGAGAATCTCCTGGATAATAGGGATACCCATGGAATCAACTAACTTGTTTGTTACCTGAATCCCAACTCACTGAACACATATGAGATATTATGGGGAGATGAAACTGTTGCTTATAATCTGTTGCTGGAAGACAAAAAGATCTGATTCATGCTCTAAAACAGGATTTCTTAAACTGGGGGTCGTGGAACTTGCAGTAGGAGGGGTGTCGCCAAAATTCTTAGTAGTTTTGATATTTCTTTAACTTATAATAATTTCACAATTACTAAATATTTTTACACAATGTATCTAAAAATAGATAAAGATAAGACAATACAGACAAAGAAAAAAAAAAACGTTTCAATGCTTTTTATAATAAATGTTCCTTTTCCTTGCTTTGCACGGCCGTGTCATTCTTCTGTTACTTATTTAAATTTTACATGTTCTGTCTTAAAATTAGAAATTAAAGTAAATGACCTAAAACTGCAATAGTATATTACAGTACAAGTGAAAAAATCGACAGTTTCACTCAAGCGTATGTCGGATTTGCGCAATACCTATAGGGTTCCACAAAATTTTTGTAAATATTACCGGCTCCTGTGGGTCACGAAAAAATCTCAGTGTTAAAAGGGGGGGGTTGCAACTAAAAAAAGTTTAAGAAACCCTGCTCTAAAAGAGAAATGAAACAATCTTTTTTAAGAATTCTTAAATCACTGAGTAACTATGCCACTGCGATTGTTGAATCGCAATTGATGGTGGCTACAATCCCTGCTGAGATGTTAAATTCTCAGAGAATGGTATGCATTTTCATCTATTCTTCACCAATGCCTAATTCTTATGTGTAAATTTTTAGTAAAAGGCTACTATTGCTACTTTAATCTGTTATGCCCAACAGGAAACTGGTTAATATCATGTATTAGGTTTGGAGAAACAGTTTGCGATAATTATCATGTTAGCCTTTTTTCCTTTATGAGTTGAACCTGCATAGTAATATATATATATATATATATTTGTTATTTTTGTTGTTTGTTATCAGTTTTAGTTATGATATCTCTCAAATACCTTCGCCTAAAAATTTAAAAAAAAACATAGCTTAAAAGACAGCAAATCCACTGGAGCATTTTCTACCCAGTACAAAATAGAATTTATAACCTTCTATACTTTTAATACTTTCACCAAATCATTTTATAAATGAGATGTGTTAATATAATATCATATTTTAAAACTTAAAAAGCACTATATCTCTTATGGCCAAAAAATTTAATAAAATTACATACTGAAGTTAATTAGAACATAAATAAAATAGATATTCACCTTCACGAGCAGCAGTGACTTCCTTAGTCAATCTAGCAATAACACGACAGGCAGCATCATGTTGATACAAAGCATGAGATAATTCTGTTTTAAAAATAAATATGCATTAAAAATGACTTAATAGTACACAAAATATATAATTATCAAAGATGGATTAAAATACAAATTAAGAAAATACAAGTAACCATTAAACTCACCTTGACGAGCAGTTTGCAATTGCTGCCTCAAAGTGAAACTGTGTAACATAACAGCATCCTAAAAGAAAAAAAAAAAAAATTAAGGTACTATAAATAAGAACACTGCATTCGTAATAAAACACAAAAAAAAAGGAATTATTTTTATCCTTTGATATCTCTCAAAGGATATGATATCCTTTGATATCTTTGATTGTTATGCTTTGATATCTCCCTCTAAATCCTTTGATATTTTAGGGGGATGATATAATTAACTACTTTAATAAAAGTAATTTGTACATGAACATAAAAAATGGTTATAAATTAATTATGGATACATTAAGATATATCTAATAATAATATCACTGACTTTATTTAAAATATGCACAAAGCAAAATTAATTCAAATTATTAAAAATAATAGTAATGAAATTTCAGAGATAATTTTTAGATTTCCTACAATATGAATAATTTAAAAAGTTCCATCTTACTCATGAGACACATAGACTTAAAATATAGTGCCTTGCACAACAAACATCTTGCAGATCGAATATTTCATATAATGAACTGCATGGCAATATCATTATAATGCCTGCTAAATGTTGAACTGAATTAAGTTTCACTTTTTTTCAAGGTTCTGCATAACATCTACAAAGAGAGGAGAAGCAGGTCAAACAACTGCGTTACCACTAAATGGCAAGCTCACCTTCAGCAAAGCATATGGAAGCAATGGGGCATTTTGCTTGAAGAGAACATGCCTAATGTAATTATTAAGGTCCTCCTCAAAAAAAAAGGAAGAAGTCTAGCCACAGCCAAGCAGTGACATACGAGTTAAACAGAGAAAAAGAATGGTAGACTTGCTCGAAGACAATAACATATACTAATTTATCCTGAGAAAAAAAGAGAAGTTAACCACTTTAAACAACCTCTTAAAACTTGAATCTTCCCCAAAAAGTAGACATGCAAAAAGATCAAAGGTAGGTGAGTTTTTTACCTCTAATTGAATACTGGAAGAACTGAAACTAAATTTAACTGAAAAATTTTGAAACCATACATACAAAGTGTAGTAAACTTTTTCATAAGCAAAGAATTAGTAAATTTCTAGCATTTTTTACCACTAGTGATGTCTTTAAAGATTCTTTTGACATTTTTATGTTGTTTTGAAATTCTGGATTACGATGGGATCCTTCCCACAGCAATTATGGGCAACAGCATTCCAATTAATAAACATCATACTGGAGTGGACTGTAGTCATTATGTCAGGTACTACTATACAAAAACATACATATTTTTAAATATATATATATACAGTCAAAAGTCGTTAATTCGGACACCCATAATCCGGACCTCAAAGCTACAAACTTTCGGCGCGTCGCGTGACGCATGACGTAAGACCTTCACCGCTGCGAATTTGCATGTGGCGTGCGCAAATACGTTTACGAATGTGCGTTTAATGTATAACGGAGGGATAAGCTAAGTCTAAAATTATCTAATTATCTATTTTCGTTAATATGCGATTCGTTGTTTCCTAATCTTCGAATTGGATCGGATTATTTTTTTGCAGACTGTTAGGAAATTTTAAAGAGCTGAACTTCGTTATGTCAAATAGAATTTCCTATAATTTACAATAGTAAGGATATACAAGCGAAGTATCTTCTGAGTCCATTAACAAAAGTGGAATGCTGCAAAAAATGTTAAAGTATATCCTTTGTTTATCTAACTTTAACGTTTGTTTATAAATGTTTATCTTAACGCCGCAGCGGCGTGCCAATAATTGGAGTGATCTGCAGCACATCTTCTCTAAGGGCAGATGTTTTTATTTATTTGCTATATTGCTATTCACTGTAGTATTTAATCTCGTCTTTGATGTGATTTAAATCAAATGCCGTCTTAAATTCGCTTCCGATAGCGAAGAAAGTGACAGCGGTTATTGAAAACGAAAAAATTTCGATGACAATTAGTCGGTATTCTAGACACAGCATTATAGGACTTGAACGCGGAACTTGTAACTAACAGAAATATGTCTGTTTATAGAATTAAAGAAAGTCTTATAACATAAAAACGAGCCACTACAACTTACATTGAAAGAAATTTTTAAGTAAACAATAATTAACTTTTTTTAATTTGATAACCTTTAGATCATACTGTTCTTATTCGCAAATTACGGTTCTATGTTTATTTTAATTTCTGCATGCCATTTACCATATTTAAATATGATCTATATCCGGAAAAATCGATAATCCGGAATCGCCGAAGTCCCGACGAGTCCGGATTAATGACTTTTGACTGTATATCTTATATGCATTTAGCAAAACGGCTTAACCGAAGTCAAATTTTGCCCATGTCTTAGCTATATACACATCATGACTGTAAAAATCTCTTAATCTTAGAGATGAAGTCAGAACTCTTTTAAATGCCTGGTGATCTGTTTGTTGCATATGCTGTTATCTAATAAACTGAAAATATTAAATCTATCAGAGAGAAAAGAATAAGGTCAGTGGGAGAAAAAAACCAAGCAACTTGTTTTTAAGTTAAATTAAACTAAAATAACATGCCGAATAAAGATTATTGAACATACTAAGGGCCAAGAATGAGTGAATTTTAATAAATTTGTCGGACTAGTTTTGAAATTAAACATTCTTCACCCACAGAAATGAAAATGGTGAAAAAGACGCCGGCGCTCACACAATAACAATGGAACAGGAAATTTAAGAAAGCTCCATTAACAAAAGAGGCAGGACTACTGGTGTCATCAATTGATTAAAAAAAAAAAAAAAAAGAAGAAGAAGAAGAAAAGACCTATGGAACAATTTCCTTAAAATGTTGAAGGCAAAGATGGATTGGAATTTGGATCATAAACTACACCTGAAAAAATTTTATGAATGTGAAACACCACTGGGAAATCTAATTCGCCAATGAAAGATGTTTCTTGAATCATTTTAGCACCAAAAAAATTTTAAATGTGATTTTTTACCACTAATGTAGAGCAACAGGAGATTTATGTTCCTATTTTCCTAACATTCACCTCAGTGCAAAACTGTAAGACTATTTTAACCCCTTAACTGCTGCAGAAAACTCACAAGATTCATTGCCCAGTGCCACGGTTTTTCACACAGGCGTGGGTAGTTATGCGAAGGGGGAAAATAAGTGCAAGTTTTACTTTCACAAAATAAATAAAAAAGAAAAAAGAATCACAAATTTAAGTTTATAGTAAAAGATGTAAGTATAGAAAATGATGTTTTTATGATAAAAAAGTCACTAAAATAGTTTGATCATTTATTTTAGACAGTAATATAATAGCAGGTCAGTGTTACTTGTGAAATCAGTATGCCAAAAAACATAATTTCTTCTGAACTGGTTGAATGCAAATTGTTCTTGATTTCATTTGAAGCTGTTGTCATATACTCGTCTACAAAACGGTTAGTTCAGTAACATAGAAGCATGAGCATTCATCAAAAATAATTCAAAAAGATAAATGGGTTGAAAAAATCCGTTATATCTTTCTTTCTTCTGGAACTTACTACAAAGTGATGAAAACAGGGACACAATAAAAAAAAAAAAATGTTTTCTCCCAAACACCATCCAATACTGCGCTGTCATTACTTTCCCGCTTTAGACCATCCCTCTTTGATTCTCCCCACATTAAATAGTATCCTCCTTCGCATACTTTGTCAAGGTCATTGTGGTGTTGCATTCCAAAGCTTTGCGAATAATTTTACGGGTAGCAGCGCAAAGCAAATGGCAGTATTTTGGAAGGGCGCATATATATGCCCAGGGCAGTCAATGCATCAGCTGAGCAAGGCGTATATATACACCTGCGACAGTTAAAGGGTTAATTTTACCAATGTACATTAAGCCACGCTGGCAAAGAATACTGTATGCACACCAGGAATTCATATCCCAAATGTATGGAAAGTCCCAAATGTATGGATCTTTAAGTACGGAAATGGAAATTTTATTGTTAAAAGAAAAAATTATATAAAAGGTATATAAAATGTATGCAGTTTTAGAAAAAATCAATGAAGAAAAAAGAATGACTACAGAATTCTTATTAGCTAAAATGAGACAGTGCTCTTTATTATGTTATTTGAACATCAGACATCCAATAAAATTACATTCCTCGATATCTTGGTGACAATTCAATAGAGTGAGACCTCAGATTACAAATGTCTCAATTTATGAATAAATTATCCAGATAAAAAATGCATTGGGTGATAAATAGTGTCTCCAGTACAAACATTTAAGTTGGCAGTATATGATTTTCCAAGGTGTTTTGAGATAATCTGTGTCACATAATTACCACTCAGAAACTCCTGAAAACATGATTTTAATATTTTCCATTATGCTATTATCATGCACAAAGCCTGGCAGCAAAGGCCTTACAGGCCAGTGAATTTTACCTAGAAGAAATTATGGCCAAATGGGTTTGCAGGCAAAGACTCTGAGCACTTTGATACATAATTTTTATTATCTATAATATTGTACTACTAGGCAAAATGTTGTTGTGTTACTAGGCTAGGTAGTTAACAATGAAAATGTGAAGTTACTAAATGATGAACAAATGCCCCTAGTTCTCTGATCTATGAAATTTCTGGAAAATGAGGTAAAATTTTGAAATAAAGATTTCAGCCTGATACAGAAGTAGAAAGCTACAACATAAGCATTTTTAATGACACACTGCCTTGAATCAGAAGCGATCTCTTATAGTTAACTAATGTTAATTGCTAATATTTTTTACAAGTTTTGTGTTAATGTTTTTTTTTTTTTTTTTTTTTTTTTTTTTTTTTTTTTTGAATAAACTACAACATACAAATGCAGTGGCAGTTTACTAAATATACAAGTACAGTTTACAAATAAAAATTTAATTATTGTCCAACAACAAACAGCTAATAACCAACTGCTAATAAAACTCAATCAAACAATTGTGATTTACATTCTTCTGAAGCCTCTGATTGAATGAAGATGAATACATTTATCCAACTATCCTACAGCTATTGCATCAAAATATTGAGTTATAATGAAAGTTTCCCCACCATTGCAAATACAATCTGAGCAAACAAGTTTATGTCTGTATGTTAAATCA